AAGCCATACAAGGTACATGAGCTCCTTCCTGTCTGAGGAGGAACTCAAGATGACAGACTTGTTCACTTCCTCTCTTATCGCCACGGCAACAACAGCTGCAGCCAATCAGCTCCTGCGCAGTGGCCGCGGACACCCCCCCCCTCCCCCCCGGGATGCTTCTGCGAGTCGATGTTTGCTGGACTGACAACAAAGACGATGACAAAAAAGAACAGCAAAGACTGTCCTCTGAGACAAACAGCATTCCAACAAACGAAGAGTCGAAAAACAAACAAACAAACAAACAAACAAACAGGAAGCATTCTTTGCTGTCAGTGCATTGTGGATAGAAGGAAAAACACGTCTGGACTGCCACTTTGTGACGTTAACCCCGTCCAATTTCTGTCTCTGTTCCATCCTCCCTCCTGTTAGGCTCCGCCCCCTCTGTAAACCCCTGAACTGTTAGTGATGCACACGTGTAAGAAGCCCCGCCCACTCCCCACTCCTCAAAAGGTTATCGGGTTCTGTTGGGACAGGAAGCAGTTGGAGGACCAACAGGAAGTTCATGTAGTCCTTTTGTATCTCTGCTGAACTGTGACTGAAAACAGACGACCTTTAAATGTATCTGAAGACGTTTTTCTTCTGTTTTCATTTGTTTCTTTTGTTTTTCATCCGTTATTTGATTGATTGATTTTATTTATTTATTTATTTATTTATTTTAGTTGTGCCGTTGATTTTCCTTTGTATTGGCAACGTGCTGGCATCAAAGAAAATTAGTTGAAGTATCCAGTATTAATAAAGTGTACTAAAAGCCCACCAAAGGACATGATAAATGTTTTGTTCTTGCTTTGACACTTGAGAATTTAAGTGAATAAAAGTCTAAAACCCGAACTGTGTCCATCGCTTTTTACTGCTGTTTATAACATAAAAATATTTGGTGTCACTTTCCAATAAGGCTCCCGTTATAGATGGTTTTTAAATAGTTATTAATTCATCTGTGTCGTCGCAMGATTTACCAAGAAWGCAGAAACACGTTGGAATAATGCACAGAAAGTCTGCGTATGTGGTTGTAAATAATGATTTAATTCTGAGCGACAAACAAACAGGACTCAATCAGGAAGCTCTGTCGGCTTGTTGCTCAGAATTAAATCATTATTTACGACCATACACGCAGACTTTCTGTGCATTATTCCAACGAGTTTCTGCATTCTTGGTAAATCCTGCCAACAACGCCAATCTGTAAACACTTTATAAATCATTGTTTATTATCCATTAAGGACGAAAAAAGAGACAAAACTGTCTGGTTTCTTGCCAAATAGTGAGTCAAATATGTTTATGTTATTACATCTAAAGGTGCTTTATTAAACATTTCAGACTAGGTTTCTACATTGTAAGGAAAATAATGTACTGGAATACAGTACAATTTATATGTAAAATATGTGTTTCGAATACATTWTTGTGTTTACATGGTAGAAACCTGGTCTGAAATGTTTAATGCAGCAGCTTTAGTTGTGATATGAACAGATTTGGCTCACTATTTGACAATAAACCCAACAGTTTTGTCTTATCTTTAATTATTATATAATAAACACTTCTTAATAATTTATCAAGTGTTTACAGATAAATTAATAAGCTATCTATAAAACATTTATAAGGAGAGCCTAAACGTGAAGCAGAGGCTGCTGGGAAACCTCCTGCTGAAACTCAGAWTAAAACATCAAATTATTTGATCTGTTTAATCAAATATGAGTTCATGAGATTCATAAATCATTACGTTGTACTTTTTTATGTTTTCTACGTCTCAACTTCTTCAGATTCAAAAATGAAGACTTTCTGTGAGTTTTATTAAAATCTTTTCTCTGGTTTATCAGATATTTTGCTGCCAAACAAACTTACAGAATAAAAACTTGCTTTTTGACCTCGAGCTGCAGAAAAACACCAAATTCAATTTTAAAGAAGCATCTTATGGTCAACACACACACACAAAATTAGGTTTTTTTCAGCTGACTTTGTAATATTTCGAAGCGCTGAATCCAAAAATCACGTTGTCTCCATCAGGTCAACTTTTTGAGCTGTTGGCAAATCTTGATTTTTTTTAAACAATTCTGTTTACGTGCATTTTAATTTCCTTTCAATTGTATTTATTTCATGTTCTAGAAATGAAATTACTTCAGACTGCAAGTTAATGAGTGATGCCATCAATTGTCATTTACTTAGTTCAGGTATTTTAGTAAGAGTAAAGGGAAAAGCCTCTGTATTGCATAAAAATGAAATGGCTTCAACCAGAAGATCTTGCAAAACTAAACCTGATGTTTTGTGTTACATCCGTGGAACAGAACCTTGTGTCRAACAGGAATCAGTCACAAGCTTCATGAAGTGTGCTTACTTTGTTTTGGTGTGAAACTTGGAGATCAGGACAAAGTATACAGTCTGCAGAGCGTGCAGCGAGTATTTAAAGGACAAGAAGATTTGTCTGAAACACAAGTTCAAGTCCTAAATTTGGAACAATGATGACAGTAACATGCTCTTTACATGTCCGTAACATGGATTAATTAATGAATTAATGAATCAGTGTGGACTGCTACATTTACAGTAACCCATGTTTGTAACATTTCATCAATAAACTGTTAGAAAACAATTTACATCTTAAAAATCGAATTTGGATGAGAAATATTACTAAAAATCCACCGATAATGTCAAAATATTCAATTATCCATAATAATCCATTTAGACAAAAAAAAACTTTGATTTAAAAACGTGATTGTGTGATTTAAATGGATGTTTCTTTAGGATTCAGTAGATGTTTGAAATCAATTGTCAAAAGATAAACTATTTTCAAAAAAAATGTATAACCCTGTGTAATTTATGTAAAGTTCAGTCCGTCACAGATATTTATCAATAACATCAAATATTTAAGCAAATATTTCTGTCTCATCTGATAAAACCAAACTTAATAAGAGATTCTTGGTTTTGTTGGAGTTTTTTTATTGGTTTATATTTGTCAGAGTTCCAGTGAGATTTCTCCTGTTTGTATCTGAGCCTCTGAAATCCCTTTAAAKCTCGACAACAAATTTAATTTAAAAATCTTTTTTGCTTTGAAATCTTCTAAAAGTGCTGAAGAGCCTGAAGTGAAATAATCGGGTCGAGCTGCTGCAGCTGATAAAAACTCTGTTTACAGGAATAAAAGACAATTAGAGAGAAATGTTCATCTGAGCAACGAGAGGGGGGGTCTAATCCCTGTGACGGTGAGATTAAATCAGTTCTCTCTGCTGGAGAAGATGTTCCTGAACATGGATGCTTTCAGGTACTTTATTAAAGTGATGATGGAAGCATTTCTCCTGATTTTGAGGCTGAATCTGTGACCTCCAGGGTCTCCAGGTCAGATCGTACCCCTGCAGCAGGGCCAGCCCTGGATTATTTAGGGTCCCGGGCAGAGATTTCAGGTGGTGCCCCTTGTTCAGTTTTCTAAATCTCACTGCCAGCTTACATAAATTCACAACTAAAACAAGTAG